TAAGAGCATCTGCCTCAAATATGAATTGAATAAGTATATATATTCATTATATATTTATTTATTAGAGATTACATTTAATCAAAAATTAAGACAAGCTGAAGAATTCGTTCAGGCAACTGAGGCCTTCCATTCACATTGAATATAGAGTAGCATATAGAATTATAGAGTATAGAACAGTTGACTTTACAAATATTAAAATTGAGTGAATATATTGCTTTAACGTCTGTATTTATCAATGCAATCGAAATGCTATAAGCAGAATATATTTATAAAATTTAGCATACAGAGAATACATATATTATTGCCGATTTTTCTATACAAAAATAAATAAAAATAATAAATCGTTTAAGCTTTTCGCTTAAGCAACTCAATAGAGAGAATAATCTTGTAATAGTTAAAATTTAGCTACAAATACTTGACAATGCCCTAATCCGAGGATTGACATTGCATATCTCAGCACATGGAGCATATATTGTCATTATCTAAGTCAATAGCCGTGTCAATCTTCTTCTTCCCATAAATAAAGCTGAATATGATGAGCTCTGAATTTTATTCACCTACATCTACGCTATTACTTGCATTGCTATGTAAACTTACTTTTTTTTATATATGTATATATTTGAGAGCCTTAAATTTGGCCACACATATCGCTCAATTAGCCGCATTTGCTCGGTTTTCCATCTTGCATCAGGGAAATCGACATAAATTATGCGCTTTATGCCTTGGCCAGTTGACTTTTTGCATTGAACCCGTTGCATAAATCACAAATGGCACACACACAGACACACACAGTATTGGGTGTGCGAGGTTGCTGGTGCAACCCTCACGTAAATTTTTTTGCTGTTCCCACAATTTGGCACGTGTGATAAACTCAAAATTGTTGCTGCCAGTGGCTGCAATTGGCTGGCTGCGATGGCGACTGCGACTACGGCTGCGACTGCGGCTGTCCGTGTCAGCATTTTGCCGGGGTAGACTTGTGCAGGGAGCGGCCGGGGTATCGGCGCTGCGCGCAAAACTTTGCCAGATTTTTCGGTTATCTGGCACATGTAGTAGTTGACCTTTTGGGTCGGCGCAAAAGTTTTTCCATTTTGCCGCACATTAAAAACTATTAGCTGCGGGCTCCGAATATTCGAGTCGCCATCGAGCAGCCAATTTTTCGGAGTTTTTTCGACTTCGATTGCACAACAATGCAAATGATTTTTCAGCTCGCCATCAGAGATTGATATTCAGTTTACAATCCCAGCAAGGTATTGTATAAGAACGGACTACAGCCTCTTAATAGGATTTTATAGCAGTTGAATTTGTACTGGAATAGATTTCCCAGAGATTTTTGTTATGTTTTTTTTAGGCCAAAATTGAAGTGCACTTACATGCTTTAAGCTAGCTATCTTTAGAGACCAGAATAACTCTGGGCTCGAATACATTAAATTGAAAGAAAGTTGAAGTGATTAAAAAAAAAAAAAAAAAAAAAAAAAAAAACATTTTAAATTGTTTTTATGTTGACAGTAGTGAATAAAAAATTTGAACATAAGTAATATAAAATAATTACTTATATATTTTTTTTAGTAATTCAATTAATTTTTTTTTTTTATATAGGTTAATTAAATAATATATATCACTTGTGAAAATAAAAAATATTACAATATTTATTAAAAAAAAAATAATAATATGAATTTGTAAATTTTTTTTGTTTGTTTATTGTTTATTTAATATTATTTTTTTATATTTTTATTTAATAATATTAAGTTTTTTAATCTTAATATATTATTATTTAATAAACAATTTTGTTAATAAATCAATATTTGATTTTACAAAACTAATTGTTTTATTGTATAACAAAATCTGAATTATTTTAAATATATTTTAATTATGTACTTTACAAAATATCATTTAAAATTACTGAAAAAATATCTAATGTTATTAAAGTAATTTTAAAGTATGTATATTAAATCAATAAAGATAGAGATTCTCAGTTTTATGGTTCATGTCTTTTTTAATAAATGACGTCTAGCTTGTAAGTAAACCAAATAACATAGATCTATTGATTTGTAAGATAGTTGTTATAGTATTTCTGCTCTTCAACTCCTCCTCGTTAATAAATCCTTCGTAAAAAAATAAATAAAAATAAAAATCTCTTATAATATGTATAAAATTCTAAAACTCTTTATCTCTGTTCTTCATTCATTCATATGAATTGCTTTGAGCCATCACACGTCCAGCTTAGCTCCTTAAATGGTCGCATTCTCATAACTATAACCGCCGCATACTTAGCCGCAGTCCAAGCGCACGCTTTGGGAATTTAAAGCGTTTAGTTCGAGTGCTCCATCTATGCGTCCCTTCTGTTTACATGACGTCTAATAGGACGTGCACTTGTCGCTTGTCCCCCGACTGCCTATCATGACTGCTCATAGACTTGGAGTTGGCGACATTATGGCCGTCCCTCCTCGCCCCCACGCCCATGGGCAGGGACCATTTAATGGGAACATGCGCCTGCAGCGCTGCAATGCATAAACGAAACATGTTGCCATCAGAGCTGCATGGCTGCAGAGCTGCAGCGTGTGGGCATTTGAGTTGGGGGCGTGGCGCATTAGACCCTGAGGTGTTCGCGTACTTAGGTCAATTACAGTTGGGCGAGGCAGTGAGAGGTGGGAGCCGGGCGATGGGAGGCGATGCGATAACCCTTTGACGCCAGCGTCCACGAAATCTTCTCGTGCGGTTGAATGAACGAGACCCAGCCGGACTCTTTACGCTGTGTTTGCCTGTGCGACTAATTAAAGAACGCGCACGTCGAATCGGCTGCAGGGGCAGGAGTAGCAGCAGGAGGAGCAGGAGCAGCGAAACCACGCGTACGGTTAGAGGCAGCATAGATTTCATTTTTGGCGGCGACTAATGGCTGCACTCTGACCACAGCTGCCGCAGCAGGAGGCGGGAGGCGTGAGGCGTGAGGCGGACAGTAGCGAAGCATTACATTATAACACAAGTGCAAACAGTGCGCCCGACTCTCCACTTTGGCCAGGGTATAAAACAACGACGACATGCCGTTGTAATTTGCAACTTAAAACTGTTGGCCAGCTAGCTGGCAGCGCCGCTAATGCCAAGTGCTGATGCAGCAGCCGCGCGACGCGCTATTTGAATGTGATTTAATGTGAAAGCCAGTGGTGCCCAGAGCGCCCAAAAGGGAAAACCGACCAGTCAGTCCACAAGCCCAACAAAACCAACGCCACCACGCCCGCCACCCGCCACCCGCCATCCGAGCCCACGAAAATGTTCATGTGAAATGAGTCATTACAGATCTGCAATCAGCCAGAGAGCGCTGTCCACAGCACCATCCACAGTTGTCATACCCTCAGCTCATTGAAGAGAGCGTACACAGATGGGGTAGATGGACTTGCTGCATGTGTATGCAACGGGTAGAAGGAGAGTTGCATATATAGGGAGAGTGTCTGTCGGGTATTTGCAATGATGTCCTGGAATTGAATTGGAAATATAGTGAAAGACCTTGACTGATATATAAATAGTGCTGCAAGAGCTCTGCTGGCAGTTTATTATTAACTGGAAAGCAAGTGAATTCACCGATTCGAAATAT